TCAAGAATCAGTAATCTCTTCTCATCTCTCTCACTCTTCTGGGTACTTGTTTCAAGACCACAATCTCCTCATCTTTGTATTTCAATGTCTTGTCTCTTGCCACTTGCAATATTTGCGTTTTAATGGCTTTCTTTGTGAATCTGATATGAACTTCTCTTGGTAAGCTATTTCTCATTGCATATCTTGTGAAGACTCGATAAACCTCATCTATTCCATCCAACATCTTCTCTTCAGTTATTTCCAAAGCTTCAGCCAATATTTCTATCATTATCTCAGCTAGATTTTGTCCTTTTTCTTCCTCTATGTTTTGGAATCTAAGATAAAATTCTGATCTATCCATCTCCCATCTCAGCATATCTTGTTCAACCACTATTAATTTGTTATCAATGTTTCCAATTTTCTTGTCTCTTTGTTTATCTTCTTCAATTTTTTGGAGTCTCTCATCATGCTTCATCATCATTTGTTGGATGTTCTCCACTTTTTCATCGGGTTTCCCTGTTCTTTGTTCAATGTTCTCTATTCTCTTTTCAATATTCTCTGATCTTGTTTGAATATTTTGAATTCCTCGCATAATCATCTGCAGGGTCACTTTTTTTTGTTCTTTTTCTTGCCTTAATATTGTCTGTATTGAACGTTGTCCTCCAGATGGTGGAGAGGAAGAAGTAGAAGTTGAAGAACCAGGAGCTGTTAATTTCCTACTCATTTTGAGGATTTCAAGATCTTCAGGTTCTTCTAGATCCAATCGGTTGGTTCGATGACAGTAAAAATTCAAAAATGATGGAAAAGACCATAAACACACCATGAACACACACACAAAAAGAAAAAGTTGTAAAATCCTAAAAAAGGCGAAAAAGTAAAGAAAAAAACTAAATAAGAAAGGAAAAATTCTTCAGGTTCTTCAACACCTTAATCCAATTAAGAGATCTCAAATATAAAAGTATGCATAATAATAAACCAAAAGAAAAAAACAACAATATGGAAGGTAGATAGAAAGACAAAAATACCAAGAAGAGAAAGAGAAGAAAAAGGCTACTCCCTTAAAAAGAAAGGGAAGGCAAGCATTAATACTAAAGCTTTTCCTTTAAAATAAAAAGCAGATGTAGAAATTTAACTTTCAAAGACAAGGAAAACAAAAAACAAAGACTAATTCCAGAGAGCCAAAAATCCAAATAGCTATTGCAAAAGAAAAAGTAAACTGATGAGGAGGGGCAGCACAGCTTAAAAACAATAAAAAGAGCACACTGCACCTTGTTTAATTATCCAAGGCTCTTGTTATAACTGTCTTCTCCAAAGACTTATCACCTTTTCTTTTCCTAAGCTTCCACACCAGACTCCAGCTGTTGATAAAAACCCAGAAGAGCACCTGTAATAATACTCTCCCGTGCTCTTCCCTCTATCTTATCAAACAGGCAATGTCCTTGAAACAAAGTCTCAGTTCTTTCTCAGCTTTGTCTGGTCAAAAGAAATATAGAATATTTCCAAGCCTCTAGTTGGCAGTGTTACAAAGTTTGTTTAGCTTTCACTTTCCCCCTCCTTTTCCAAGCAAAATATAATAAGAATTAATTTTAAAAAAAGAAAAAGATATTTAAAAAATAACTAAGGGGGTCTCTGGCTTAGAATATTATAAAATCAAAAGGGAGAGAAGAATATATAAAAAGAAGAAAAAAAACAGTCCAGTTTCAAAATATAAGATCATGTGTAGAAAATCCAGCAATGAGAAAAAAAAATATTACTTTGACATTCCTGTTTAAAATCGCCGCTTAATCACTTCTGTCAAAACTTTTACAGATTCTTTCTTTCCCTTAGGGTATCCTTTCAAGTCTTAAAATAAAGAAAAAGTTCTCACCAAACCAGCACACTCTCTCTTTCCGTTCTCTTTCGTTTCGGAGCTGTCCCAACTTCAGCAGCTTTAATGGCTGCCTCTTTGCCGCTGGCAAAAAGAGCTTCTCCTGGATCTACCAGGGACTTTGCAATATCCCTGGGATCAACAGGATGCACTCTTTACATTCACCATCTCTTCGGGATGGTTTAGATCCACTTGGACCGTCCAGGAGCAAAGATATCGGCTGTGATCTCAGATCTCCAAGTTCGCATGCCGTATTGTCTTGACGCCAGCTCCGCCCTCTCAAAAATATGTTGTAATGGTCTTTAACAGTATTGCATCCAGTGAATAGAGATTGCCAATCAAGGGATGAGAGATCATTGTCTATAAGATCATAATTGCCTTTTTTGAAGTTATAATTGGGGATTACGTCATTGTGATGATTTTTGTGTGGGCGTATATTGAGACAAAAGTCAATCATATTGTGGTCACTGTTGGAAAAGGGTTCTTTAGTTTGTATTCTGTAAATTAAATTCAAACTATTGCAGAAGATGAGATCGAGGCAGTTGTTTAGTCTAATATTGTTGGTTACTAGTTGTTCCAGTCCCAGATTTGTAACAGCATTGTAGAAGGTTGCACATGTGGGTTCAGTTGTACATTCGTTTAGGGTCCAGTCAATATGAGGTAGATTGAAGTCACCAAGAAAGATAAAAGCGTGTGGGCAGGATGTTGCCCATGTTAGTTAATTTAGCTTGTTTACATGTTCGATGTCATAATCAGGTGCTCTGTAACATAGTAAGGATCAAAATGTGATATTTAAGGATAGTTCACAGATGATGGTCTCAGGAAGAGCAAACTCCTGGGTAACTTGGATGTTTTTTAGATGTAAGGACTTTTTATAGAAGATAGCAAAACCACCTACTCTACGAATTTCATGATCTCATTGGTAAACATGAAAGTCTCTTACTGTGGTAATGGGGTCAGGGAGAGATGTGTTGAGCCATGTTTCACAGACAAATATGATGTTGAATTTAGCCATATTTAGTAAGAGGAGAAATTCAGATATTTTATTCACAAGGCTTCTTGCATTGAGCAGCTTGCCTTTAAGGCCAGCAGTAGTTGGAATTGAGGTAGTTAGGGGCATGCATGCCTAGTCTTGAGTGATGGTGGATTAGTTGAAGTAGGGTTGTGGTTGAAGGTTAAAGCTGAGTTGAAGGTTGTGTGACTTACTTTTGATACAGTCAGCACGGTAAGCATACCTATTTCCTGTATTCTTACTCGTGTTTATACTTATACCTATTATCTTGTAAGCAATTGACAAATCAAATAAATAAATAAATAAAGTACAAAAAAGCAGCAAGCTAACAAGAACAGCTTGACTGCAACCCTGTGCAGTTCACTGGGAATAAACTCTACTGAAAATACTGGTGCTCACTTCTGACTGGATGGATTTTTTTTTAACATCTTTATAAACATTTATTTATTTGATTTGTCAATTGCTTACAAGATAATAAGTATAAGTATAAACATGAGTAAGAATACAGGAAATAGGTATGAATAAATGGGGAAAATAGGACAGGGACGGTAGGCACGATGGTGCACTTATGCACGCCCCTTACAGACCTCTTAGGAATGGGGTGAGGTCAATAGTGGATAATTTGAGGTTAAAGGAGTGGGGGGGTGTTTAGAGGATGTAACAACAGAGTCAAGTAGTGCATTTCAGGCATTGACCACTCAGTTGCTGAAGTCGTACTTTCTGCAGTCGAGTTTGGAGCGGTTAACATTGAGTTTGTATCTATTGTGTGCTCTTGTATTGCTGCGGTTGAAGCTGAAGTAGTCATTGACGGGTAGGACATTGTAGCAGATAATTTTGAGTGCTACGCTTAAGTCTAACCGGAGACAGCTTTATTAATATAACAAGTTTTACCAACCAGTTGTAGATTTCTCCAACATGGAGCAAACTCAAACAGAAATAAGTTGCAAGTTCAGAGCAGGGCTCCAGTCTTCAGGAAGCAAGCAAGTTAGTTTCTCTTTTACTTTAGTTCAGCAGGCAAGCAGAGGAGAGAAGCCGTTTCATTTTCAATAACAGACTCAATAACAGACTTATGTTCCAGTAACTCAACATAACTGCAGAGTTGCAGAGCTTGGTATAGAGCCACACCTAGTCTATTTCTAGTTTCAGTTTCCAGACAGTCCTCATTGGCTGACTTAGTTGCTCTGCCTATTCATTGGCTGAGCTTGTGACCAAGCTCTATTCCAGTTCGTGAATAGACTCTGACAAATCACAGCTTAATCAAGGAACCCGCAAGAGCCCACCCACGAAGCAGAGCTAGCGTAGGAGAGGGCCAGGCTGAGCCCGAGGGAGGGGTCCAATGCATCGTCAGCCTTGAGTCCCGTCCCACCCACAAGGGATCTAAGTCCCGCCCTCCTTGACTTCCAGGGACTCTTCTCTGCCGCCAATTTGCTTTGACCCTTAGTAGGTCAGACTCTTGTGTTAGCATGCAATAACAACACTGTATTCATTTGGGGTCCCCGATTTCCTCAGCTGGACACCTAGATGGAAAAATTGCCCAAATGGAGAAACGCTACCTTAGAACAACCTGCATAAATTGGCTGTTATAGTCTGTTTCCCTATAATGGGTCACTCCAATCTAGCTTCAAGAGTTGGAAGAGGCCCTAGAGGCCTTCTATTTATTTTATTTATTTATTTATTTATTTATTTGATTTGCCAATTGTTTACAAGATAATAAGTATAACAACTCCTTAGTCAGCTAAAATACACTTTGGGATTTTAATGTGAAGAAGGGGACTATTTTATTCTCTGGAGATGTCAACTAAGTCCATAGTCCATGGAGAAAAAGGTATCCAACTCTTGTTTGATTAGTTTATTCACTATTTTCTCTTTTAATCTGATACACACATTAACATCCTTGTTATGGCTTAACTTGGAATGGGTAAATAATCCCTCCACGGGACTTGTGATGCATTATGTTCATGCCAAGAGCCCTGGAAAACATCTAGCTCTTGGCTTGTTCTGTGTTTCCCCTCTTCTCTCCAATTTTTCATTTCCTGCCTTGCTTTTCTACAACACATTCTTGCCTCCCCTTCCCCTCCCAATCCTGTGACTTCTCTTTGGGCTATAAATCCCTGTGACTTCTCTTTTGGGCTATAAAGGACATACACACTGTGTCTGTTCCTTGGCTTGGGGTATGTTAGTGGGCAGGCAGCAGTGTGGGTGGGAGGTGTATAGCTAAAGGCCTGCAAAGGAGACCAAAAGAAGCAGCTTCAAAAGAAAACAGAAAGTCCTACACAGAGAGCAACAGGAGTGACAGCTCAGGAATTACAGAACAACATGAAGGTAAGTCAGTGAAGAATCTGAAGGTTTGGAGCAACAGATATTTGTTGAGGGGAGGTGAATTAGGATGTGAACTAAGGTTTGATTTTTTTTTTCAGTTGGACTTTGGTATTGTCTCCTCACTCCCAATCAAATTAATTTTTGTAATGGTCTATTTCAATGTCAGATGTCAAGATGTTTGACTGAGAGATTCAGCCATAAAATATCACTGGGTAACTTTTGGCCAATTCCTTTCTCTGGGCCCATCCTACCACACCAAGTTATAGCTGTGAGGATTAAATGGAGGAAGATCATTCTTTGAGGTGCCTTATATTCCTGGCAGAATATAAAATTAACATATCAATAAAGATATCCTCCCAATACAATACAAATGTATGGTAGATGTGACAAAGATTTAGCTAAAAAATTATTGAAGAATTCTGTTTGGCCATTGTAGAGAAGTAAAATGCAAAATGAAACAGACTTTTTTTAAAATATATATGGCTGGCTTTCTTTCTCTTCTTAAATCCTGGCATTTGTTTTCCCTATCATGAAGTTGATTTTTTAAACAAAAGGATGTTTACTTTCTCTATCTGTAATGCTATTAAGAGATTGCTTTCCAAACAAAGACAGGTTGAACCATGGACTACTTTATTACTCTTATTTTTGTTCTGTAACAAAGGGGAGAAATGGTTTCAATTTCATATCCAAGATAGTGGAATTACAAGGGCTAATTGATCAGGGTAAACCTTATCAACCTCTGATTAGTACCTAATATTCTTATAGGTATCCATGTATTCATAACTATGTTTTTATTTATACCTATTATTTTGTAAGCAATTGACAAAAATAAACAAACAAACAAACAAACAAACAAACAAACAAATAAATAAATAAATAGATAGATAAATAGATAAATAGATAAATAAATAAATATGATTCTATGAAGTGAACCATTTCATACAAAATGCTTTGCAAAATTGATGGGGAGAGGGGGTGAGGAAAACTTCCCTGATTCCCTATATGTGAAAAGATATAAGGGAATATTAATTTTCACAGAGAAAAATGATTAATGAGAAATGGACAGAATGAGAAGATGCAGATTATTTTTTAAAAATGAAGGTGATCCAAGATGATTGTATGAACTACAGTATTGATCTTTCTTTCTCTCTCTCCCTCCCTCCCTCACCCCCTCTCTCTTTCTCTGTGTATGTGTGTGTGTGTGTGTGTGTGTGTGTGTGTGTGTGTGTGTATGTATGTATATATATGGTATTCAGCTTTGTTCGGGCATTTTCCCACATCATTATAGTTGTGCTTTTAAAGTTGTAGGAACGTTTCAGCAGAATCTTATCTGCCATCATCAGTCTTCTGTATTGTGTTCATTATCTATCTATCTATCTATCTATCTATCTATCTATCTATCTATCTATCTATCTATCTATCATGAAGGTACATGGACAGAGGCACACTAGAGATAATCATGGAACACATCTGACTCAATTAGACCTCTGTAATTCTACTATCTTAGATATGAAGTAAAACCATTTGTTATAATACAAAAATCGAACAGCTAAGCACTATATATATAATGTTGGTTCTCAGCCTTATCTAGAATACTGACTGTTGATTGCATGAAGAAAGCTTGCTGTCCCATATTCTGCATATTTTTATCAGGAATGGAGACTATCATCCCAGTTTCCATTCCAAACACCCACTTACGTTCAGGTAAAATACTGTCTATTGCAGAGAGCTTTTCTATATCCATGCCAGAATCAAACTCAAAATTACCCACTTGTTATGCTTCCTAGTCAACATGTGGCCCCCTAAACATGAAGTGTTTGGAGGCAAGGGTGGAGGACATGATGTGGAAACAGAAAGGACTTCTTCACACTATTCATATCCATTACTTTTTGCTTTCTTGCAAATATTACTGCAGGTATTCTAGGGATGAGCTATGATTTCAGCCTAGTTTCTTTAAAGGTTTGACTGCAATCTTCAATACATTAATGAGAGACATTAATAAAAGAGATATGTAGACTTCAATTGGCTGGAGAATTCTGAGAGTTGAATTCCATACATCTACAAGTTGCTAAGGTTGAGAAATACTGCTATACAGGTAGTCCTTGACTTACCACAGTTCACTTAATGACCAAAGTTACAATGACATTGAAAAATTGACTTATGACCATTTTTACACCTATGACTGTTGCAGCATCCCAGTGGTCACATGATTTATGTTCAGATTCTTGACACTGACTCACATTTATGACAGTTGCTGTGTTTGGAGGTTATGTGATCCCTTTTTGCAACCTTACGACAGCAATGTCAATGGGGAAACCAGATTCACTTAAGAACTGTTACTAATTACTAATTTAACAACTGCAGTGATTCCCTTAACAAACATGGCCAGAAAAGTCATAAAGTGGGGCAAAACTCACTTAACAAATTTCTCATTTAGCAACATAAATTTTGAGCTCAATTGTCATCATAAGTTGAGGAGTACCTGTCAGAGCTTCAAATAAAAGTATACATGCAGCTTAAGTATGTGCAATTTTTCATTTTAATCTCCACTTTCTTCCTCATTGGTTATTCATTCAGTAAGAATACAATGTATATTCTCAGAAAAGCAGATAGATACCTATTTTGATCTACAAGTAGGATGCAAATTCAGAAACTTTAAAATAAATCAGATAATAATAACAACAGCAGCAGACCAGATTATATAAATATTTTATTTAAAAAGTAAGTAACTGGGCCATGAACACATTAAACACATTGGCAAATCTAGTTAAAATTTTCCTGCAATGCATTTTTCCCCTCAATGTCAGGCCACAGGCCAAAAGAAAATTCTGAGGCCAAGAAAAGCATAAATACAGAATACAGAAAGTTTCTACCTAAACTTGTGTCTGCCATGTGGGTTGTTGAAAGATTATCAAAGTTAAAGATATACTGAATAATGGTAGATGAACTTTGAAGAGTTTTCCTTCTATTTCTCCCACTTTGAGAACTGACAAATATTAATTAACGTTGGACCAGAAGGAAAAATATCTATTTGCCAGTTTCTGAATCTTAATTTAATTTAGGGCTTTTCGTGATCTGAACATTACTTATCTTGAGTTAATATCTCTAAATCATGTTCTCCACCAGCATCCACATTTTTTGCTGCTTGCCTCACAATGACAAAAGCTGCATTCCAGCACCATGCTGTAAGATTTTTTTCCCTATGGAGTAGGCATACAAGATTGCAACACGCTTACAAAAGGGACAAGATTTGTATTGCAACAAGACAAGGCCACTTTGATCAACCAGATTGCTTTTGCTTCTTCTACAGGCACTGCTTTGACTAATAAATATGTAGGCAACTTTCAAGTTTCAACTACCAGGTTTATGTTCGGATATATTTCAATCTCTGACAAATATTTTTCTATTTTCAATCAGTGAATCAATTTCTCTCTCTTTTCCCCCCTACTGTATATTGCTATAAAACTTTGAGCACTAGATCTCGTATCATTATTAGCAAATAAGTTTGTTAGGCCTTCAACAAGCTTCTGAACCCAAGAAAATGTCCATTTACATTTTTCACTTCAGACAGCAAAGTCTGATTATCTTTTGCCATGGTAATATTTAATGTAAAAATGACCAAAATGAAGGTTCAACATGAATAAGCCCTGGCAAACTAAGCACACATGACAGATTTGCATTTTTATTTTTCTTGGTAGACAATGCCAAATGTCTTTCCAAACCAGAAAGAGTTGCTGGAAATTGGGAAGTATATACTCTGTATTATAATTAGGTTGGTCACACAGTTAGACAGATGTTTAGATTAGATTTAGCATTTTTGTCCACCCATAAAATCCTTCCCAAGAATCTGGGATATTCAGATTTAATAATAAAGGTATTGTCGCAAGATGTAAGCTTCTTCAAGTAAAGCCATCTTCTGAAATTGACTGATGGTGATAGTGTTCAAGTAATGTTCCAGGTGTTTTGACATTGCATCCAAGTTTACTATCTGTAATACCTTTGCTTTACTTTGCCACATTTATTCGACTTCTATTTGGAGGTCTTTATAATACAATGATAATTATATTATTATTAATAAGAAGAAGTCTTTTTTCTATGTACCATGGATGACAAGTCATGGTTTTTCTTTTTAGCTTTCTCAGGCCTCCTCATTTTTACCCATCTCTCTGTTCCTCCTTTTACTTCTTCATCTTCCAACATTGCAAGGACAGGCCATCAATTCAGGTAAGTGCTCTTGAGGCTGTTTTATGGAACATACCCATCCTTTACATCAGGGGTGTCAAATTCAATCTTGTTGCAGGCTGCATTGGGATTTTGTTTTCCCTGGGGGGGGGGGGCGGGGGGGCATGGCCTGGTCATTATGGCTGACTGGGTGGTTGTGGCCATTCCTGGGGCAACAGGGGCCAGTCCCTTGCCATCTCTGGGATGGCCCAGGGACCCTATTCTGCAGCCTATCATGGTCTGGATTCACCTGAAAGAAGGCAGTGACACCAGCTTTTGATAAAGCAATTTTAGCCATCTTTAGGTTGGACAAGAAAGAATTCTTATCTAAGACCATAAAATCTGCTTGTCAATATAGGCAATACAGAGCTTATCATGACTCGGGGGCATAAGTAGAATTCTCTAACCCCCCAAACAAGCCTCTCAGATGCCTCTTCCTACATTAACTTATTTTTGTGTCTTCAAATCAATCTATGTTAGTGACTGACTAGAAAGTTCCTTCATTTCCCTTGGCAAGATTTAAACAATGGTTTACCATTGTCTACTTCCTAAGGCTGAGAGAAAATGACTGACCCAATGTCACCCTACTGGCTTTGTCCCTAAGGCAGTCTAGAACTCATGATCTCCTGGATTTTAACCTGATGCTTTAACCATTATTCCAAACTGGGTCTTCATTCCAACTTGACTCATTAGTTGAAGACTTCAGGGTTTCATGTGTATCAGTTCTTGGGTTTTGCAAACACAAGCTTCTGTTAGGGAGAAAGGGCAGCAGCTCAGGGTGCCCTCTGGGAATGCAGTATTGCCAGCAAATTGTACCAGTACTTGGGTTATTGGATGGGATCTATGATAATTCACCATATTCAACTCGCCAAGGCCAACTCACCACAGTCAACTTGCCATGGCCAACTTGCTGTAATCAACTCACCATGGGACAACTCATTGCAGGACAAGTGTTACATTAATATCAAAGAAATTGTGGAATAGAATCATTATAAAGGATGCAAAAAGAGAGACAGAATAAAATGTGAATGACAAAATTAAAAATATTTTTTATTTATTTTAAAAAATTAAATTGAATTATTAAATTATCCTGTGGCAAGTTGTCCCATGGTGAGTTGTCCATGGTGAGTTGTCCAGCAAAGAGTTGAATATAATGAATTGGCCATGGCAAGTTGTTCCATTCCTTATTGGATGTGGGTTGAAAGAATCCTGTTGATTTCCTAGATAGCACCAACAATATAGGAACTTTTCTATCTCTTTCCTGCCATTTAGGGACTGATCTAGGAATGCATGTTAAGTTCATGTATTGTCTGTCATGGAACCCCCAGCCATTATACTGCCCACAGAAAATGCTTAGATTCCTTTATGGCTGTATATCAGGTCTACTACAGATGACAACCAAATTTGTTTTCTAAAGATTACAGGTTCGACTAAGAACTCTTGGAACTATGGCTATTTACACTGTCTCAAGTATATTAATGTAATTGGCACAACTCAGTATAAAGCTCCTTCCTCTATTATTAAATATATTGTTTGTGCTAAAAAGTAAAGAAACTCTCAAGTCAAGCTTATCTCTTGGTGATTCTGACTGTGAAGCTTTTTTTGGCAGCATAATGAAAGTTTGCTGTTGTTTCTTTTGTGGTTTCTTTTATTTCCTAATCTAGCTAACAGACATGGCATTCCATAATCCTCCTGATCCAAGTAGTAATCAGGGCTGACCCTACATGGCTTCTGAGATTAGCCAAGTCCATTTATTAAAACATTTCTAGACAGATAAACTTTTGTTGCCAGGGCTGCTCTTTGCATTCATTTTTAAAAAAAATCTGAGCCAGCGTTAGGTTGCCGAGCAGACTAAGCCATTTAACAATAAATGAAGAATATTAAAACAGTCCATGTTCAAGCAAGTACAAAAGACACAAACAAGCATTTGAATTATCTTTTCAGCTTCTGAACAGCTGTTTTCAATCAAATTGAACAGAAAGTCTCATGTTGGGATGTCATTTGTGGCTTGCAGCTTGCCCAGCCTGGCTTGTATTATAGCATCTTTTGCCTTTTTAATCTTTGGATCATTTCACAATAGTTAAAAACAGTGTTCTGGAATATCCAAAATAGCAAGAACACTTAGACTTATATCCCGATCCATAGTGCTTTACAGCCCTCTCTAAGCTGTTTACAAAGTCAGCACATTTTCCCCAACAATCTGGATCCTCATTTTATTGACCTTGGAAGGATGGAAGGCTGAGTCAACTTTGAGCCAGTGTGAATCGAATTGCTGACAGTCAGCAGAATTAGCCTGCAACAATGGATTCTAATTACTGCATCACCATGGCTATATTCAACAATTATGTTTCTTAAATGGGATGTCTCTTTATTTTTACAATGCGGTATAGAGAATCGTGTTTTTTTTTGTAAATTTTATTTGAGTTTTCACAAAAAGAAAAAAATACAAATAAAACATCTTTTTTGAAAATAGCGTAATCCCGGGTTACATTTCTTCGTACAGACACAAATTCAGGTTCATGCTCATTTTTATATTCTATTCCATATCTTATTACTATTTTACATTTTCTGCATAGCTTCTCCCCTCTTTTAATTTTCTCAATTTTATTTTAATTATCTCATCTCAATTCAAATCATTGTATTTATATTTTTTGTCTGTCCTGTTTCAATTATCTATTATCTTTTCTCATTAAACAAAATTTCTCCTGT